AATTGTAAAAGAGGGGCTGGAGAGATGACTCAGTGGTTAAAAGCACTGGCTACTCCTGCAGAAGACCAGGGTTAGGTTCCCAATATGTACAAGGCAGCTAACAACTGTCCATAACTGCAGTTTCAGGTGATCCGACGCCCTCTCTGACCTCTATGGGCATTGTACTACACAGGTACACTTACATACATGCAGGCAATACACTCATACATATAAAATAAAATTTTAGCTTAAAAAAATAATATAAATTGTTTTTATTGCATAAAATTATAAAGTATCTATAATAGAAAACCAGTGGCTAATACAAATGTAAAAGTTAAACATCACTAATAAACAGCTCCAAATTAAAGAAGCCATTTGTCTTGTCTACTAAACTTCAAAGACTCTTAAAACACCCATGAGATCCTCTCTGAGTGCTCTCTGTGCTTGGGTAGCTAAAGGCAGAGGATTCGGGAGAGAACTACAGGGCCCAAGAGACCTCAGACCTACTTAGTGGAAAGACAGGACCTCTTGACTGACCATTTATGACATAGCAGTGCTACCAGGAGAGCTGCTAACGCAGAAGGTGACCTAAGACCGAGACTTGCTTTAGCTTCATGTAAAATAATAAATATATAGATATCTTCATTGGTCCATTGAGGAATACAATGGTCCATTGAGGAATACAATGGTCCATTGAGGAATACAGTCATGCCCATTTTGGAAACTGGGGCAGTGAAATAAAAAACCTTCTGTGGCTCAACAACTAGTAAGTGGTAAAGATGTAATTAAACCCCACATATTTCTGGGTTCAAGGCCCATGAAATATGAACTGCATATGTATTCCACAATTTAAATGATTGTGAGGTTCCCAACTCTGTTGGGAAAATTGGTGCTACACAGGGGCAGATGGGTCCGCAGCACACAGAATACCTTGAGGAGACAGTTCTATGTCAGCTAAAAGATCAACATCAGCTGCGACCGCACAGTGTAACTTCTCGTGGAGATTCCAGTTCTTTCTGATGCAGACTGTAAAGACAGCTTAACCAACATCTCTGTGTCTCAGTTTTTGCATATTGTAAAAATGGATGGTTGGTGCAATCAACTTCAAAAATCTACTGAGGAATTAAGTCTATCCACAAAAGTTGTCTTCCTAAAACACGAGCCGCATGGCAGTAGATTCTATATCACAGTGAGAAGCCTGCCTTGACTATGCAGACTTTACTGCTCTCTTTCTCCGTGCTGTCATGCCTTCCAGAAGCCTTGGCTATTTAACTCTTCACAAGGTAAGGTAAACAAGCATGTGTCTGAAAAGCACTCATTTGAAGGACGGGCTTTCCTTACACCAGGAATACGACATTGTCATCATTAAAGATGGAGAGTCAATGCCAAGATAAATCTGTGCAAACAAAACTACTTAGAAAAAAAAGCAATCTTATTTTCCTCTGTTCTCCCCTATGATTCCTAGCTACTTTTCTGGCATTTACAACCTGTAATCCAAGCCCCTTTATTTTATGTCTTTATATCATTCTTTGTTAAAATGGTATGTAAACTCTCAGACCCATGCCCCTCCTTTACGTATGAGTTTCATACATATATATGCATACATGTACATATAAATAGGGAAATATGATATATGCATAGACATACACACAGAGATATATGAAGCCCTCTGTGTACATTTAAATTTTTGAACTTAAAATATGAATGCTCTTCTCCTGTTAATCTGTCCTTTGTCAGTTTGGTTATCAAACCCAGACCCACTAGAGTCCTCCAGGTCCTCAGTTTCTAATGTCCATCTAGGCCCCTGTGTAGGGACTGGATATTACAGAAAATATTTTGTTAAAAAAAAGGGGGGGGGCTGGAGACATGGTTCAGGGGTTAAGAGCACTGACTGCTCTTGCAGAGGACCCGGGTTCGAATCCCAGCACCCACATGGTGGCTACGAACCGCCCTTAACTCCAGTTCCAGGGGAATCTGAAGCCCCCCTTCTGACCTCCACGGCATTGCACAACACGGGTGCACCCACATACATGCAGGCAATACACTCATACACATAAAATAAAAATAATAAATAAAATATTTTTAAAAAACAACAAAAGGTCCATCATTTTACCTTCACTACAACCCTGTTAAAAATTAATTGTAGGCTGGGCGTGGTGGTGCACGCCTTTAATCCCAGCACTCAGGAGGCAGAGGCGGGTGGATCTCTTTGAGTTCAAGGCCAGCTTGGTCTACATAGTGAGTTCCAGGCCAGCTGTGGCTACAGGGAGACCCTGTCTCAAAAAGATGAAAAAAAAAAAAAAATTAACTGTAACTGTAAATAATTATAATTGCCCATCTTTCTATACTTTGGGAAAAGGTAGGCTAAAAGCCAATGCAGGAGATCAGCCTTGCACAGAACACACTTCTGTCTGAAAGTGTATTCCCTACTCCACCATGTGTAGCCTTTCAAAGACAGCACAGGTGAAAAGCCCATCATAGACTTCCTAGGACCAGGCAGATCCAATCTGCAGCTCCAGGGCCAGGAATCCAGGACAGCTACAAATGTGGCCCACTACATTCCTTGACTGTATACAACATCATGTTGCAACATCAAAAGTCAGACCCCCTGACAGAACACCATAAAGCACCCCGTTGCTCAAAGGTGACAAGGGCTGAATGGTCTTAGGACATCTTATAAAGCTATCCCTCATGAAAGGGTGGGGAACAACTTTATTATGAGGACAGTTTCAGATCCAGGTCTGAATCCATGTTCATTCTGTCCTCAACCTTACATTCACCCAGGCACATTTCTTAAACTTAGGACCTCAGCTTCTTTACTTATAGAGTTTCAAACAAAGGCACTTGCCTTTCAGGGGCTTATGAAAAAATTTAAAATGTCATATGAAAAACACTAAGGACAGAGAATGCTTTAACTAACCCACTGTAGTTATGTGTTGGGGAAAACAGGGCATTCTAAATGCTTATGCTGCTGGGTGTGGTGGTGCACAGCTTTAATGCCCGCATTTGGGAGGCAGAGGCAGGTAGACCTCTGTGAGATTGAGGCCAGCCTGGTCTATGTGCCAGCATGGTCTATGTAGCGAGTTCTGGGTGCTGGGGCTATAGGAAGACCCTGTCTCAAAAAATAAAACCAAAGGGGCTGGAGAGATGGCTCAGTGTTTAAAAGCACTGGTTGCTCTTACAGAGGACCCAGGGTGAGTTCCCAGCACACACACAGGGCAGCTAACAATGGTCTGTGACTTCAGTTCCAGGGGATTCGATGCCCTCTTCTGACCTCCACAGGCATTGCATGACATGGGTAAACTTACACACATGCAGGCAATACACTCATACACATAAAATAAAAGTAAAAATAAAACAAAAATAAATGCTTGTGCCACAGTCCTTATCCTCACAGCAACGTTATGGAGTGCATATTATTCTTTTGATCTTACATTGAGGAAATTAGGATTCAGAGACATGCAAGTAATTTGTCCAAGGCCACACAGGTGACAAGAGGCAAAGCCAGAATTCAGATGAATGTCTTTGCTCTTTGCAATCTACCTGTCTACATTCTGCTTAGTTTTAAGGAGCGATAAGAGGGCTCAGGTATGACCTGAGTGAGAGGAGAAACGAGGTCAAGTTTAGATCAGAACGGGTGTGATCTCAAATGAGCACTAAAGATGTTTCAAGAGGGCTGGAGGTATTTATAGTTCACTGACTGGATATATGCTTAGCTTGAGTGAGATCCTGAGTTCAATCACCAGCAACACACACACACACACACACACACACACACACACGAACAAGGCAGGGAAGAAAACAGGGAGGATAACCAAAAGTTAGTGTCATACACCTTGATTTCCTTTTAGCAAGTAATAGAAATAGGAACAATGCGTCTAGCCATGCTTCCACTCCTGTACTAAGTCTTGAGGTTCCAATTTCCATAGTGCTGTAGCAAAGTACTATTTCCTCGTGATTTTCTAGATGGCTATGCACTGGAAAGTCTTCCAGAACAAACAGGAAGTTGAGAAAAGTCACAGGAAATTCTGATCCCGTTTACTCCCAAGAGAAGGAAATAAGTTCTACTAGGTTAGAACTTACATCCCTGCCAGGAAGGCATGTTGGCAGATGATTCTGGTAACTACATGGGTGACTTTAAACCATCCTACAGAGGAATACTTTTGTACAATAATACAACACACACAAGCACGCACGCACACGCGGGTGCGCACACAGGCTCTTTGATGTTGTTCCTTATCACACAGCGCTGGGACAGACACCTTTCAGGAACCCGGAACCCTTCATGTTTTGATCCATGAAGTTAGGCTGGACACCTGAAGAACAGCAGTGCAGAAAAAACAGAATGGGGTGCAAGGACGCACTTTCCCAAGGGCATGGAACGGTTCGTCCAAGGAAGGCCCTCACCAAGTCCTTCCACCCGAAGTCCTCCAGGCTGGGACTAGGACAACACTGAGCAGGTCCAGCACCTGACTGGAGAAGGAACTCGGCAAAACACGGGTGACTTTGAGTAGGGTGTAACATCGCGGTCCGTTCACACGTGTGAGCGTACTCATTCCCATCCTCCTGTGAACTTTTCCAAGTTCCGCCTAGGGCTAGCTCTCCTGGAACGCTCCTTCCACCGGACTACCTGTGGACCAGAAGTTTCCGTCTTCCCGAGGCTCTCCCCAGCCACTCCTCCCTTCTCCAAGCGCCGTGCCCCTCACCCATGCCGGGCCACTCGTCTCCGCGCGTGGCCCCTGCCAGGCCGCGGGCTCGGGCCCCCTCTCGCCTGCCGCCCGGTTCTCTGCACACAGCCCCGCGCCCGGCTAGCTCCTCGCACACAGGCGCCGGCCCCAGGGACGGTGGGAAACGAGGCTGTGCGCGAGGCGCCGTGCAGCCTCCCTCCCGGGTGCCTCTGCCGAAGGAACAAAAAGGGAATCGACGCCAGGGGAAGGCAGCGGGATGAGGATGCGGCGGGACCGCGGCGCGCCTCTGCGCAGCCCGGGCCCCCGGAGCGCGCGTGCGGCCCGCGCCGTTACCTTCAGGATGCAGGCCATGGCGCTCCCGGCCCGGCTCGCGCGGCCCC